ACTTACTGTGGGTCTTGGTATACACTTTTTCTGGTTCAGTTGTAGTTGTATCAGGTCCACCTGTTGCAGGTAAATAACCAATGACTTACTGTAGGTCTTGGTATACACTTTTTTCCTTGTTAAAATTCAGCTGTTGTATTTTATTGGGCATTGAATTTCAACTTACTAGAGTTCTCTAGGGATGTGGAAATAGAAGTTGAACTATGTTTTACAGTTAATTTCCAATTTGTGTGAATAGTCTCCATGCTGTCTTAATTTGGCTTAAGAAGGCAATGTCAAATGATTGACAGAAGTTAAACCATTTTGATGTTACTATTCACCCAAAGTTGTATCATGTGGTGAGATAGCTAGAAAGGTTTTTCACTAGTAACTACTGTGTGTTCAGTTTTCTGATGACAGTATGGTATAGTGATAGATTCAACCCAGTGTTTAAATATAGGAACAGCCATCTTGAGTTTCTATGACTGATTGAACATAGAATTGGTATGACCACTACTGACACAAATTATTATAGAGGTAAATGGTTTTATACATATCATACAGGAAGGAATATATAACCACTAGTTATTGCAGCATATATAAGCATGGTTGCAATGATATAGTTAAATTCATATGAAGAAAGACCCTCATATTCCTATTCAACAGCCATTATGTTTTTAGAATCTGGTTTCATTGGTTTGGGTGTTGTGTGTCAGTACCTGCTTTTATTCATTTTTTCCAATTGAGTGTAGCATCTTGGCAGAACATACCACTGATTATAATGCTGAACCACTCTTTTTCTCAGTGTAATATACTTAGGGTTTCACAGTGGTTCATAAGTATTTTCAAAGTACAATACTGTCTGAATTCACCTCAGCTGTAAAATTAAAAAGTGGGCAATTTACTAAAAAATTATTCTTTAAACAACATCCTTCAAATTATAGGACAAATGTAGGACTAAAATATTTATTTTCATCTTTGAGGCAGGATTACTGAAATTTTGAATAGCTTTTCAAAAGATTACTGAAAAACAGTTTTACAAAAAAAGTCTTTATTCAGAAAATTGTAGTAACATCAAGTGAATTATACAAATGACAGTGAACACTTCTTAAGTGTACAAATACCATACAGGCTCATTCTTATTTAACATTTTTAAGCATACGTCTTATGATACAGTGTATTCTCAGGTGACAGTTCCATTTCTTCTGTTTTATGGCACTTGCAAATAGCCAAAATCTCTGAATCCTAACTTTCAGTTATCAGTATTGCTGTAAAAAACGTCATATTTCTACATTTACCATTTTGTTTTATCAGTACTTGACTATTTGTATAAGTTAAAAATTTATGGTGGGTTAAGTGTTGAGAATCTTTTCCATTTATTATGGCTAGAATTGATAAGCTGTTGTTGCTAGTTCAAGAAATTCCATTTGAGTGATTATTCAAACTCTTGCTGTGATTTTTCTTGATTCTGTAGAATATTAAACCTGACTCATTTGTGTTTTCTAAGTAATTAGCAAAAATTATATGATTTTAATTTTGTTTTGTCAAATATCTGTTCTAGCTCTTGCATAATGCGGCTATCTAAATAAGTAAGCCTATTTTAGTGATATAATTGCAAATAATTGTCAATTTGTGTATTATAAAAAAAACAGATATTAAAGCCAAGACTGTTATAAGATAACAAGTCACACACAGTTATGTATGTTATATGTAAAAGTGGTTTGCAAAGGTGAATAAATTATACTGTCCTAATGTAGTGTTTTTGCAGTTAACATGTTGGGTTTACTCATTATAGTTCATAGTATGGTTTCTGCCTGTGTGACAAGTACTTGTAGAAACATATTCAGAAGTTAAAATTGGTGAAAATCTGAGTGTCAGAGATGCCAACAGTTGTAATAAGCCTCTGTGTGGCTCATGATGGGTTCTCTGTGATTTTTTGAGGTTAGATATTTCACCACTGATGTCTAACTTTAGTACAACCGAAACAATTAGGAATTGATGCTTCATAAAAAGCATGGTATTATTTCCTGTTTTCTCCATTGTGGTTGGTTGTCTGTAAATTAGATTTTGGTATTTCTTTTCTGCTACAACATTCCAAGTTCACTCTCAACTTGTTGGTCAGTTCTTCAGTACATAGTAAAATTCTTGACCTTAAACTGTATAAAATATGCTGTTTTCAATTAAATGTTCTTGTAGTAGTTTAAAGAATATTTTATGACACTGATTTTACCAAGACCAGCATGATTTTATAATCAAATGTAGAGATAAGTTTACACTGTTATTCAGTGAAACTTGTAGCAATGAAAAATGTAAATTTTTTTAAATATATATTTAGTAGTATGTTGTTGATTCTACGTTTATACTTAACATGGACTAACAAGTTTGTTTCTTTAGAAGAATTTTAAAAAAGTTCTTTAGTGTACCTGAAAAGTAGGCAGACTTGTGTGTTGTTTGTCGTTATATATCAATAAATTCACCTGATAGATTTTTTTCAGGAAAGTACATATTAGTCTTATTACTGAAAATATTTCTGTTGATGAATTATATTCTGCTTAGCTGCTTTGTTTTTACATAAGGAAATTATTAGGTTTGATTTATTTGAGAAATTGACATAATTTTTTATTCTTCTAAACCCTTTGTTAAATGAAATTAATGAACTCTAGTTAGTGATGGTTAAATCTATAGTACAACTTCTTCAAGCCATAGCTCTTGAGATTTCTGGACTAAGTAATTACCACCCATACCAGTTTTGAAGGCACTTGATTTAAAATTGCAACAAATGTAGATAGTTTTGCTTATTTGTAAAGTGTCATTTAAGAATTATTGAAGTTAGTAAATGACATCAGAATAGTACCAATAAACTTTTAGTACTGTTTGTTTATTCTTGAACTACTAGTATTTGTGATTGAATCTGTGACAACTGTATACAGTGACTAACCTGTTTATGGCTGACAACCTGTATGTGAATCTTTGTAAAAGCTTGAACTAACCTTGGTAGAATGTGAGATATATGTCTAGTGTCCTATATGTAGGATGCATCAATTACCATAAAATTTATAGTGATGTTTAATTTTTCTTTACTTAGTCCTACTTACATAAATTTCAAAATATTTCATTAACCCAGTAGCTAGAACCACTTTAGACATAAAAAGGTTATTGTGTTAGTTGTGTGATATATCAAGTAAAATTTCTGCAAGCTAATGCAGAGGCATGCTTCAGGTTGGTAGAAAGTTTTAAAAGGATTTTCCTGAATGGTGAAAACAAAACAGAAGAACATTGAAACTTATTATTCAATAAATAATCTAAAACACTTCTTATTAATAATAATTCTCATGAATGTGAGCAGTATTAACAAAAATGAAAAAGTCAGTGAAGCTCAAACCATTTAGGTAGTAATAATACTCAGCAGGATATAATGATGACAGGGTTTTTATGTTAATTTTTTCTGTAGTGTTTTCAAACGTGACTTACTTCACATAATTAAAAATAATTATTTTCTTACAAAGTTTCGTATCATATTTTCTTAGTTATTTAATGAAGCATTTAAAAATTCAAAATCAACTTGTAATCACACAGCAGAAGATGGAGCTTGGAAATAACTAAATGTGATTTAATGTAATTGTATATGAAAATAGAGAGATTTAAATTGATTAATTCTTAAATAACATAAAGCCTAAATTATTATTTTTAGAAAGTTGTGCTTTGACGTCCATCACAAATAGATGTTTTGGTTTTTTTTTATCAAGTTTTGGTTTGAAAACTTACTTTAGATATATAGTGAATCTGTGATCTTGGTTAAATATCGAACAATAGCCTTTTGTTGATCTTACTCTTGTTTTCAACAGACACAGGTGCACAAGTTATAATTTTATGTTTTAGCTTTTGCATTGGTTTTTGTATATGTACAAATGTTTTATTATTATAGATAACATTTCTTGTATTGACTCTTGTTGTGAACATGTAATGATTAATTTTTGTAGTTTCCTTCTATTATCACTAAAATGTGAGTACATTTTTCTTGTTCAGAAGGAGTTATCAAGATTTGTAGGATGCATTGTTGAATGATGTTAATTATCAGACATACTGTATAATATATATCTGTATACAGATGTGTAGTAGCAGAAAAACCAGTCACAAGTGAGTTTGTGAATTTGAGATTCAAGTGTGCAACTAATAAGTCAGAAGATGTGTTTACAAAAATTTTCCTCCAGCACTTTCTGTCTGTGAGTAGGTTTTTTAGTCTTGCACCTTTTGACTAGTAAATGTGTGTTATTCTCACGTGCAACAACAATGAATTGTTTCTTCATATTACAGTAGTTAATAAAACATTCTCGTAAATGATGTAAAATGCTTTTACAAATATATTAATACCTAATAAAGGCATTATGAAGAAAATTTTCCTTCTTTTTTTTTATTTGAAAACTATATTAGCATGAAAAATGTAAAATGACTGTTTAGTTAGGAAGAAACACAACATTACTAAAAGTGATGGTTATTTCATCTACTTTGGCACTTCCTTAATTTTAAGTTTCTAGATATCTTTTTAGAGGCAAAATAATGTTTTTAAAGAGAATATTTTATGAAACTTCTATTTATAAACCAGAAATTAAATAAATAACATGTTGATATTTCACAGTAGGTTATGTTTAACACATATAAACGGTGAAGTGAATTGTGATATAAATCACTATTTAACATTAGTTGTACAAAGGAACAGTATTTTGCACAGCATACTAAATAATGTATTTCATACTAAGCATGTTTGTGGTATAAAAGTACCACAAGTCTTGCTCTACATATATTTCGAAGCCTTTTTAGATTTTTCTAAGGTTTTAATTTGTACATGTTAAGTCCAGTTGAGGATTGTGTGCCAGTTAAACCCTATGGATTACTATTTATAACAAGATAGAGTCATGAGATACCTCCACTGTTTCTTGAGATAGTTGTGTTGTGTGTACCACACTATCTTTGGTATATGGGGCAATAAAATCATACACTTGAAATTGCAAAGAAAAATGGTAATTACTTTTCTTAGGTAGCTTTCAAAAGTTAGGGAAGAATTCTATTTTGGAAAAGAAAAAAAATGAAAGTTTCAAAGCATTCACAAAACAGAAGTTTGCTACTTAGTCACATCCCATATTCTGAGTTGCAAGATGTTATTTGTTTTCACTTTTAAAAGGTAAAATTTAATTGTACTGATTTATAATTACATATGAATAGAGGGGGGGGGGTCCACAACAAAATGCTCCTTTTTCTCTCATTATACGACTGAGTGTATTAAAAAAAATGAGTATTTCACAACACAGAAAAAAAGACTTAAAATAATGCATTTTGAAAAAGTAGCTATGGTATTTCAGGGGTTAGTAGATACTGGACCATTAGTTTAAAAGTGAATTTTTACAAAGGAGAAACCTCTCTCTTTCTTGTGGGTATAGTCTGTTATCCTGTCCCAAAAAGGAGCCAGGTGGTTAGGGTGCTCAACTCGCAATCTGAGGATCACGGGTTCGAATCCCCGTCCCATCAAACAGGCTTGCTGTTTCATATGTGAGGGCATTATAATGTGACAGTCAATCCTACTGTTCATTGATAAAAGAGTTTGTGGTGGGTGATGATGACTAGCTGTCTTCCCTCTGGCCTTTCACTGCTAAATTAAGGATGGCTAGCATAGATAGCCCTTATTTAACTTTGCACGAAATTCATAACACACCAAATTCCTAAAAGAATTGGTTTTGAAAACTTCCGGGTATACGTGACACTTATGGTAAACTAACATGGGTTTTATGTCACAGACAGAAATACATTGACATTGAGAGTAGCCAACTGATGAAACGATGCATTCTAATCTTTATAAGTAGAAACATTTAATTAGCTATACTTATTGCCAGGTTGATTGTTAGTTTCACTGTAAGTACATAGCTTGCTGTTTTCGGAATGTATTATTAATTGCTCATGAATGAATGAATGAACAGCTGGGGCATTTCAATGGTAAAATCATTTTGGGTCATCCATATCAAGATGATTAGTTATAGATTGGAGACCTGTGTATCATTGATAGATTTATAAAAATAGTTGACAACTATTGCACGTATACTATATCAGTGCAGTCTCTGTATTGTGCTAAATGAGCAAGTAACAAGGAGATGTATTTCAAGGAGAAATTATTTTGGACTACCTTTTTATAGGCGTGGATACAAAACCCCTGTTCAAGATCTGTGCACATTTAAGCTGTCTTAAAATAGACTGGTCATAATAAACAGCTGACAATGAATATTCAGGTCTACTATCTGCTTGTAAGATTCCACAGCTGCATTACACTATTAATCCAGCTGAATCACAGTACTGTATTAGTTGGAAGTTTCATCAAGCACTACTTAACTCACTTTAGAAATTCTGTAAGACCTCAGAATATGGCTATTTATTCATGTGTGGTACTTTCCTCCTTCCAGATTTACCTCAAAGTATTCAGTTAAGGCTTGCTAGCTGGAAGTTCAAGAATACCAAAATACAGAGCATGCTTCTCCCTGAACTCAAATCGAGTTTGCCTTACAAAAAGACACGAAACACAAATACTAATGTTCAACAATCTTTACTTACACAATGCAGAGCACTAGAGTAAGAGTATCCAATTGATACTAGTAGTGAATAGTTTATTAAAAGTTCATACCATCATAGTGTAAGTTAAAATAAAACCTATATTATGAAAAACTTCAAAGTTAAGTGAAAGTAAAATCCACCGCTGTCTAGTAAAATAACTCAATGGAAACTCATAAGTTAACGTTAAATCCAGATAAGCTAAATGCTAATGCTTAGCTATAAGCTTAAATAAACCCTGAAAATCTGTATTAAAATTTTTTTAAGACTAGTTCACTAAAGGTGAATGTCAACGTGAAAATAAGAGTTATCAACTAAGCTTGTGAAACTATCAAACTCTAAATTCTCAGTATAAAATAAGAGTTATCAACTAAGCTTGTGAAACTATCAAACTCTAAATTCTCAGTATAAAATAAGAGTTATCAACTAAGCTTGTGAAACTATCAAACTCTAAGTTCTCAGTATAAAATAAGAGTTATCAACTAAGCTTGTGAAAATTATCAAACTAAATTCTCAGTATAAAATAAGTTAGCAACTAAGCTTGTGAAAACTCTCAAACTCTAAATTCTCAGTAGTCTGCAAAACTCCATGAACTGAAACTTTGCCACAATCTTCCTCCCTCCCTGTACAAGCCCGGCTTTAAATACCAAAACACTAAAATTAAAAAAAAAAGTCAGACTTGGACTCGGATCTACGTTCTCTGAGTGACACGTGTGTTATTAGCGTAAAGGACGTGGCAGCCCTTAGCTATTATCTGATTCGCTAACAAGAAAATCAACTCTCTCTCAGAATGTTGCAAGTAATCTTTCTCTTAAGAGTACGTGGATAACAATCAGTAACGAATACATCTGTTCTGCACACTAGCAAAAAGGAAGATTGAATAGCTTACTTGAGCACCTTACTGCATACAAACAAAACAATGAAAAATACAATTTTTAAAATGTTGCGTGTTAACCAAGGAAAGGAGGTGAGGGGGGGGGGGCTAATTCACGGTATAGTTCTGTATCACACCCCTCCTTCCAGACGAACCTGGCTGCCCTTAATTCTAAAACTACAAAAAGTCGAGCTTTTATCATGTGACCCTCAAGAAATTGAAATTACTTTTACCTGTCACGGCAAAACGATTGCCCTTTAACAGAAAAGCAACACCATATGTTAGATTATAACTTTAGCAAAGAATTACAAAAATTATATTTCACACACAAAGCTTACAAGTATACTCTTTAACATAGAATAAAACATCCTCATTAGGAAGTGACAGTTAGCAATGGGCCTGGTATGGCCAGTTGATTAGGGCGTCGACTCGTAATCTGCGGGTCGCAGGTTCGAATTCCCGTCCCACCAAACATGCTCGCCCTTTCAGTCGTGGGGACGTTATAAGATGACGGTCAATCCCATTATTCGTTGATAAAAGAGTAGCCCTAGAGTTGACGGTGGGTGGCGATGACTAGCTGCCTCTCCTCTAGTCACTGTTAAATTAGGGATGACTAGCGCAGATAGCCTTCGTGTAGCTTTGCGCGAAATTCAAACCAACTAACCAGTTAACAATAATGCCCTACTCTTGTTATCAATAACATAAAATACAAAAAAGAAAACATCGCACATGGGTGACAAAGACTGAGCTAAACCTTTACACATAAACCAATCTATCCATTTAAGAGGAAACAACTAACACGCTCTAAGAATATCAAACATAAAATGAAAACCTTTAAATGTAGAAAACAACCTACAACATACAAACTCTCAGCCTTACACTAATTTAAACTAAACTTGAAGCAAACAAGTCGTACAACCAAACGACCTTAATACCAAACATGAAAAAAAGATACACATACATACAGTATACAAAATGAAAACCTTAAACCAAAATTAGGCATGTTGGCTTGACTCGCAATCTACATTTGCTGGTTCAAGTTCCGTGATCAAACATGCTCGCCCCTTTAGCTTTAGGGTGTTATAGTGTGACGGTTAATTCGCACGTGCACTACCGACTTACGGGATTTTTTTCTTCTTCTTCTTGTGTGCCATAATAATAGGTATTCCCTTTAACCCTACTTTTTATACTAATGGTACTACTGGACTAAATTATCTAATTAAATAATGCTCGAAAGAACACATAATAATAACATGCAGAAAGCAGAATATGTCCCGTGACTATCACAATTTTTTTGCCTTTCTAGCTATGCCACAAACGTCATTAGAATTTAAGCAAAGCTGGTCGATATGATTCCCTTGGGAATAAAAGTAAAACTGAAATCGAAACTACACATTGTCTATTGAGAGAAAAGGAAAGTAGAAAAATACACCATTTCAAATGCGGAACCCTTGATTTTCTATTGGTTATATGTGATACAAGATTAAAAGTCAGAGAAAACTCTTGGCAAGTTCTGAAAAGGAGGATTGACAAGTGGACATTACAAGAGTGGTCTGATTTTCCATTTGTTAGCTCTGTAACTAGTTAATATTGAAGGCTATAAATTTATACTGCTCTCCTCTCCCATCCGCAAAAGGATTGAAAGAGACCTAGACCTGCCTTTCTCAAAGACGCTGATAAATAAGGTCTTCAGACCGGTTTTGCAGTAAGCATTAGTGAAACACGAGCTTGTTGTGTACCAAATTATCTTCGGCGCTTTTGCTTTGCGCCTCAGTACTTGTTGACAGGTTGTTCTTCAAGCTTTTAGGTCAAGAGGTCGCGGGCATCTTTAAACGATACATTTTACTGGTGTTAATTATTACATGAAGTTGGTGTTCTACGTACATGCGTAGACACATCAAGTCTTACTATTGAGAAAATGGATATCGTA